AAGTGAAGATGTAGTCTCTGAAGCTCAAAGATTGGGTACCCTCTATCACAGCAGCAAACGACAAAGACGGAGACTCTCAAAACAGGTGGGAGCTAAATACTGACACTTGAGGCTGTCCCCTGACCTTCCGATGAGCTCCACGGATGCGCACAGCTGCATTCACATACGTGTACATGCACTTATGCTCACACACACAAAAGCAGCAAAGTGGTGGGGCTTACCGATCTAGGAGACACAAACACATCTCCTCCTCTGCACTCCATCAGGGCTCAAGAGGTGGCAGGAGTTTAGTGACAACCATGGGCTGTGAGCATCAGGTGCCTTCTGCCTTGGGTTAAGAAGCTCAACAAGTGAGCATAGGGGCTGCTGTGAGGTCAAACACCAGCTATATCGCAAACACTTAGTGTAGCCGCTAAATAAGTGAGAAGATCTGAGAAAGTATGTGAGGGAATAAGAGCAAGAAGGAGGCACAGCCAACCAGCATTACGTCTTACAGTTAGAGACACCCCTAGAGTGATCGCCTCAGACATACACAACATCGTATCCCAGAACACATGAAGACCACCAAGGCATCCCTATCCCAGGGTGCTGAACAACTGGTTTGGGAGAGAGCGATTACAAATCAAACAGGTGCAAGGACTGTCCCCTCCCTAACATCTCTAGCCCCTGAGAGCATATTGCATTTCCACATGGTTTCCATGCTCTCACACGCAAGCACATGAGAGATTTCCGTGCTCTCAAACATGCAAGCACAGTGTGCATGCTGAACAGTGCACTGCAGTCCATATTCAGCAGTAGAGATTTGAATTTCTGTGAAGTCTTTGTACTAGTGCAGAAAGATAACGAAGTAAGGGTTTTTATCATTTAATAAACTATACTTTTTTCCCTTTTATTTATTCTCTTCTCACATAATACATCCTGACTGCAGCCTCACTTCCCTCTGCTCTTCCCAGCCCCAGATCCACTGCTCCTCCATCCCCTTCAGAGAAGAGCAGGCCTCCCAGGGGTGTCAACAGACATGATATAACATGTTACAATAAGACTAGGTTGGGAGGCAGAGGCAGGCAGATCTCTGTGAGTTCGAAGCCAGTCTGGTCTACAGAGTGAGTGCCTGGATAGGCTCCAAAACTATGCAGAGAAGCCCTGTCTGGAAAATCCTAAATAAATAAAAACAGATAAATAAATAAAAATAATAAAGGAATAGGCACAAGCCCTCATATCAAGACTGAATGATAGGGTCCCCAGAGCAGGCATAACAGTCAGACAGCCAGACTCCCACTTTAAGGAGTCCCACAAAAACTGTTCAACAACCACAGCATGTATGTAGGGGACCTAGAGAAGACCCATACAGACTCTGTGATTTAAAAACAAAAAAATTTATGGTGGAGTTTTTCTGGGAGCCAATGCTCAAGAGTCTACAAGAACTCATGTTTAAATCCCATACTGAAGAATTTTTGTGAACTTGTCCATTGGTGACTTGAAATTAGTCATAGTGGAAACATTTGCACCATGAAAATGAGTCAGATTGGGAATTCTAATTTTATTTATTATTTTGTTTAGATAGTACTAGACAAAAACTTTTTAAAATATTTCAGATTTATAAACACTCTAAATTAAAACAATTTTTTGAGACAGGGTCTCTCTATGTAGCTCTGGCTGTCCTGGGGCTCACTGACAAGCTCAGAAATCCACCTGCCTCAGCCTCCCAAGTGCTGGGATCTAAAGTGTGCACCAACACACCTGGCTTTTAAACACAGAATGGTCAGACTTTCTTCTGGTGACTCTGCTGACAGACAATTGATTTTGAAGGTAATGATAACATGCCTACATTTTGCTATATTCAGTAGTAATATTTCATCGGATACAATTTAATTCGGGAGTTAGTGGAACCCATGCACTATTGCATGTATGAGTCAGCATTGCCCCCAGAATGGGACTTCCCCTGAAGGTTCATCATGAGCCAAACACACCTTAATGAGGATTCACAGAGGACCACTGTCTCTCCCTGGTAGCCTGCAAGCCTTGTAACAGCTGCAGTTCAGTTTAATTGGTTTTCTGTTCAAGATAAGTAGGCTGGACTTAATACAGATGACACTTGTATGGTTCCTGTTAGGCAGTGTTACCACGTCCCCTACACACACACTCACACTATTAACACTCAAGAAGTAAATCTATGTGCTCCTTCTCACCTCCTCTTCTAACTAAGAAATAAGCAGCAAATCCAGTGAAGAACACAAGATGGGAAGGAAATACATATAGTTGTTTCCTTGAAGCCTCGTCTCCCAGAACTAAGAGACTTGCTAAGGTTTGGATGTGACGCAAGTGTGTCTCTAGAATGAGGCAGATAAGGTCATCAGGGTGGAAGTCCCTGTGAATGAGTAATGGTGGCTTTGTAAGAAGAGGGAGAGATGGGCACACACACCCCACGTAAACGCACAGTCGTGTGCACAGATGTCGCCACACCTTGTCTCCTATGGGCTGTCCCACGACTGCCAGTGAGGAACCATCATGTGATGTGACTTCTCTACCTTGGACTCAGAACTGTGATCCAGAATAAATTGTTTCACCCAGTCTGCAGTTGTGCTGTTGGTGACAGAGAACGACCTAATTCAGAGACACAAACATTCTACATACATCCATGCAAGACATAGACTCTTTCCACAGAAGTGGGTATGGGCAGGTTCCCATTGCTTGGCTAGTAACTGGTATACCCAGAGACTGCTGTTCCATGAGGAAAAATCAGCATGCGTCGCACCAACACTCAGGCATCACGCAGAGATCCCATCCCAGGGCCCAGAACTAGCAAGTTTGTTTCCTGGGACAGTATCTCACTCTGTAGCACAGGCTGGCATGGAATTTGTTTTCCTTTTAGTCTATCAAATGCAGGGTTTACAGCGAGTGTTGCCACACTCGGAAAGGTCCTGAATTTGTCTCCTCTGCCCCCTTCTTTTTTTACAACGTGTTCTCTGGACTGGGCTGAACGTGTTCCTGCTAAAAATACAAATGGCTGTGATACATTTGCACATTTACTCATTCAGCAAATATTTACCAGCTGCTTGGCTCTGCAGCAAAGAGTATGCAGGCTAGAAAAAGAACAAGTTGATAAGGTACGGAATAATAGACTTTCTTAAACTTACTGGAGAAAAGAGTCATTATAAGTTTTACTCAGTGATTGTGTGTGTGTGTGTGTGTGTGTGTGTGTGTATGTGTGTGATTTGAGACCAATGAAATTACTTTTAATAAAACAAAATATTAAGTCTAAAATATTTCTCTCTTTTTATTCTTCTATAAGTCACAGTTATGGAATCCTTTAGGAAGACCATAGCTGGGTATGGTAGCATGAATTCTAGCCCTTGAGAGGTAGAGACAAAAGGCTCAGGAGTTAGTGGTAATCCTTGGCTACATAGAGAGAGGGAGGCCAGTCTGTGCTACATAGGACCCTGTCCCAGAAAACAAAACAGACCATAATTTAGGATTGATGGAACATATAGGTAACCCCAGAACTAGCAAGTCTGAGTCATCAGTCTGAGCTATACAGCAAGACTGTAGAAAAAAAAGAAAGGAAGAAAACAATATTCTGAGTATAAGCACCACTCAGTGCAAATAAAACAGATAGTCCAAGTTGTTGACACTGTGCCTCTTCAGAGTCCCCAAGGTCAGGGATGGAGTGTGTTGGCTGGATGTCACAAGCACTTACCGGGTTTTAACCCTGGAGGAATGACGACAGACTTAGCAAGCTGGTTTTGAGTATGTATTTTACTTTACACTTATATCAGAGCAATACACACAAGCAGTAGCAAAGTCCTACGACCATAGCTACCAGGCTCACAACTGGGGTATCTGTCCAGTGAAGGGCCTCGGCTCGAGGTGTCTCAAGATGCCTCTGGATTCAAGTGGCACGTCCACCGAGGTCTCTAGTCTTTGATGTCTGGGGTGGGATCTGGTGGCTCTCAGCCGAGTGGACTGGCTTCTCAGGTAGAGGAGAGTTCACACAGTCGTCATGGTGGGCTCTGCTTCTCAGCCCTGAGCTGGTCCTTAGACACCTTGCTTATCACACTCTGCCACACATGCACAGTCTCATTCATTCTTGTCTCTAGTAGTCAGGTAATGGACCCATGTCCACTTTTCAAATCTCCCTCCAGCCAGGCTTCTGCCTGTCTGTTTTCATGCTCCTTACATTGTTGTTATCCGGTCAGAATGTGAGCAAATCTGCAATGTTCTTACGAATGCCGTCCTACTATCAGGAACAAAGAACTCCATGTATTACAAAGCTCCCCTAGTCTCCGAATCATTTTTTTTTCTAGAATCCCTTGGGTCAACACACCAGTTCTGCCTCAGTGGGCCTACGTGAAAGGAGACCTAAATCTTGAGGCTCTAGAATGTGTGAGGGAGTAACCTGCTTCTTCCTCAGCCACCTCCAGAACCCTAGGTTCTCAGAATTTGTGAATTAGCTTCTCTGGAGGAGGCCATCAGGATGGAGCAACTTTGCTGTACTTATCTCTGAGAAGGGTCCCAGTTTCCTCATGCTAATGGGCTAATGGATTATGAGTTGTCTTCTTTCCCTTCGCTCAAACCTTGTTTCTTTTTCTTTCTTTCTTTTTTGTTTTTGAAACATTGTCTCTTTCTGGAGCAGTGGTGGTTCTACACCTCACTGTATAGACCAGGCTGGCCTGGACTGGAACTCACCTGCCTGCCTCTGCCTCCTGAGAGCTGGGGTTAAAGATGTGTGCCACCATGCCCAGTTTACACTCAAACTCACATTGTTTTTAAAAAGCAAAGCGGCCTAACTTTTGAGTTCCTGTTTTTCCTAACCACTTGTTTATTTTGGAGTTATCTCATGAACTCTGGACGGGGACAGAAAAGCAGAAGAGACAATGCCACTTAGAGACATTCTTGAGCTGTGCTACAACGAGCAGGTTTCTTTAAGAGGAAGTTCTCAGCAGGCATTTGATGGAGAAGGAACTGGGTGCCTCAAGGAAGGGCAGAGACAAAGGGGACTTCTACAGCCAAACTCTGCGTGAAGGAAGAGAGAAATGAAAGTTGTAATCAGAAACAGACAATGAAAACTCCAGCGAAGAAGAGAAGAGGGCTGAGAAGAGAAGCAGGCGGCGACCCTCAGGTGGAGAGTTCCGAAGGTGAGGAAACCACGTGTGTAAGTCAGTCATTAGTGAGGGCAGGAGTAACTGGCTGTTAGTAAAATCGGTGGGGCCGTTGGTTTGCACTGACCTCCTTTGCTAACCCTCACATGGGGTCACTCTAAGGTTCTACACTCCCAAGAAAGGTGACAACCAAATCTCCAAATGGACGCATGTGCCAGCATCAGATAACAAAGACAGGACTGACTCCACCCTTGCAAGCAAAAAAACTTTGAAACAATTAACTTTCCTGAGCCTTTAATTTTCTTCCAAATTCCTGCTCATCTCCAGAACCCTTGTTTTGTTGTAGAATGAAGTGCTGCCCAATTCTGGAGTCACAAATAAAAGATCTTAAAGTGTATAGTAATTTTTGTCTTCAGACATAGCCAACCTGGTGTCTTACGTCAGCCCTGGTCTCTATGTGTTTCACACTCAGAACAGATAGTTAATATTTACGCAGTATTTCAAAGGTACAGCCACTGTACTAAAATTAGTACACACATCAGTCACCATGTTTAATCCTAGTTACAACCCAAGCAACAACACCATTGTTTGTATGCAACTTATAAAGACATTGAAACTGGGAAGACAGGAGACGAGGATCCCAGCCCTAGCAGTCTGGTTCTGACCCCGGCCTCTAACCCCTGCACAGCTGTTTCCTCAGAGTGCCTGACCGGACACTGCCAGCACTCAAGTCCTTGGAGCTTCTTTCCCTTGGTGTGTGGGGGAAGGGCCCCTCCTGGCCCTTGGAGGGAGACAAGTGCAGGGCTGTGTGTGTGAGTCACTGTGGAGGGCCCACCTTCCGTGGGTCTGCTCATGAGGTCATTTACTCACTCTCTGTTCCCTCTCTGGAAGTCAAGTGCAGAGGCCAGTGAAGGACTCCAAGGCCCTTGAAGATGGGGAAATACTAGACACAAGCCGGCTCAGTTCCCTTGTCAAACAGCCCACTAACCTTCAGTGTTTTCAAGAAGTAATCAGGTGAGTATCAAACAGCTGATGTGCAGTTGTTTCAATAGTTATGATTCACCCCCATCAATATGATAGCTGGGTTAATGATCCTATCAGGTGATTTTTATCAGTGTGTTTTCAAAACAAGACACTATGAACAAGAGTTAGGACTCCTTGTTCCATTCATTTACGAAAAAGCATCTCAGTGGGGGCTGGAGAGATGACTCAGCAGAGCACATACTGATCTTCCAGAGGTCCTGAGTTCAATTCCCAGCGCCCATGTCAGGGGCCTCCTAAACACTGTAACTCCAGCACCAGAGATTGGACATCTTCAGCCCCTGCTGGAACCTGCGCAAGTACACACACACACACACACACACACACACACACACACACACACTTAAAAATAAAAATGAGTGTTTAAAAAGGAGAATTTCACCAAACAAGAGAGGTTGGGTTCTTTGAGACAAGCCAGCTGGCTAACGAGGAAGCCCCACATGGTTGGAGGCTGAGGAGGCTTTCTGCACAGAGCTAGGCCAAGAATGGACCTGCTAGTACTGTAATCCTGAAACTGGAGTAGGGGATCCCCCAGACCAAAGTGGATATCCTCAGAGTCTGGCTGTATCTGTCCTCGGGTTCCCAGTTGCAGAAATGTCAGTGAGACTAGACCCCAGGGTTGTGACAATGAGGAGTTTTCTCAAGGCCAAGACCCATATGTATACTCACCCTGCCCAGGGTTTGTTTAACTGTGAAGGCCCTGACCCACTCAGCTCTGGACAATTGAACTCCTCTGTCACTCCAGCGGCTGAGGGTCATGACCACTAGGGGAATAAGAACAGAGGGTGGAGGTGGAACAAACACCTACCAGAGTCCCTGGGGAAGACAAGGTGACTTTCTTCCTTCATCTCCCACCATTCACCAAGCACACACTGTAGTTTGCTTGTGAAGGGCAGGGCAGAAGAAATTTGATGGTATTAAATAGGGACCTGAGAAGGAAAAAGAGAGATAAATGGGGTACAGTCAACTTCTCTGTCCTCCTGCCTTAAAGCCCCTTGAAAGAACATTCTGTATTTACCTGTGCCATGTGGATAGGGAGAAAACATCTCAGGGGAAGAGTCTTGGTCCTATAGGAAGACTAACTATAGAAGTCTGTAAACTAAACATCTGAACAGAACAGGGCCCAGATGTTCTCTAAATGTGACTTGAAATGATCTTGTCTAAAATAAGGGCAATTTAAAAACTCTCTGCATTGAGTTTCCCAGACTTGGCTCCTGGTCAAGTACTGCAGTTGTATAGGCTGCCAGGCCTCCAGTTTAATTTTAAAAAAAGTTCCACAGTCCTCCTTGCAAATTGTATAAGAAGCAATGAGCCACCATCTTGTGTCCTGGGCACTGCCCAGCAGCAAAGACATCCTGCAAGTTCTAAAAGAGCCTGGTGTATATCTTGTAAGATATGATTTTAGTCTATTTCATGAGTAGCTTTACGAACCAGAAAATTACAGCGCTGAAGTGCTCAGAGAACCTGTGAAACTTCATTGTCCTGTTTCTCATTTATACAATGAATTTGTTAAGTGAGAACATCTTTAAATATCCTAGAAACTGTGAAAGGCCCTAATCTTGCTTACAGACACAATGTATCTGTATATCTATGGCATAGCTACATGAAAGAAGTCCACAAAGAATCAAGCTGTACTTTTAAAATGAATGAATGAATGAATGAATAAATAAATAAATAGGTGTCCCTAAAGGTTTACATGACTGCCTCTCTTTCTTACTTTCTTTTTTTTTCCTTCTTTCTTTCTTCCTTCTTTTTTGTTTTTTTTTTTTATTGAAATTAGAAACAAGCTTGCTTCACATGCCAATCCCAGTTCCTTCTCCTTCCCCTCCTCCCCTGTCCTCCCAAATCCCCCTATCCCTCACCCAAACCCAACTCTACTCCCCAGGGAGGGAGAGGCCCTCCATTGGAGAATCTCCAAAGTCTGTCATATTATCTGGGGCAGGGCCTAGGCCCTTCCTCATGTGTCCAGGCTGAGAGACCATCCCTCTATGTGGAATGGGCTCCCAAAGTCCATTTGAATGTCAGGGATAAATACTGATCCTGCCTGAGACCCCATACATTGTCAAGGCCTCCTCACTGACACCCAAATTTAGGGTGTCTGGATCAGTCCCATGTTGGCCTCTCAGTAATCAGTCTGGGATCCATGAGCTCCCCCTTGTTCAGGTCAGCTGTGTCTATGGGTTTCACCAGCCTGGTCTTGGCCCCATTGCTCATCACTCCTTCTCTGCAGCTGGGCTCCAGGACTTCAGTGAAGTGCTTAGCTGTGGGTATCTGTTTGTTTACATCAGTCACTGGATGAAGGCTCTAGGATGGCATATAAGGTAGTTGTCAATCTCATTATCGGCGAAGGGCATTTAAGGTAGCCTCTCCACTGTTGCTTAGATTGCCAGTTGGTGTCATCCTTGTAGATCTCTGGAAATCTCACTAGTGCCAGATCTCTCCTCAAACCTATAATGACTCCCTCTGTTATGGTATCTTGCATCCTGCTGTCCTCTATTCTTCCCCAGACTCAACCTCCCTGCTCCCTCATGTCTTCCTCTCACACCCTCTTCTCTCCTTGTCTTTCTCCCAGCTCCCTCCTCCCATCCCCATGCTCCCAATTTGCTCAGGAGATCCTGCCCCATTCCCCTTCTCTGGGGTACCATGCGTATCTCTCTCAGGATCCTCCCTGTTGGCTGTTGGTTTACTGTATATTGCTTTTATTATGTTCAGGTATGCTCCTGTTATCCCAGATTTTGGATTTTGTCCAAGTTTTTTTCAGCATCTAGTGAGATGATCATGTGATTTTTCTTTTGCAGTTTGTTTATATGGTGGATTATATTGCTAGGTTTTCATATGTTGAACCATCCCTGCATCCCTGGAATGAAGCCTACTTGATCATGATGGATGATTTTTCTGATGTGTTCTTAGATTCGATTTACCAGTATTTTATTGAGTATTTTTTGCATCTATGTTCATGAGCAACATTGGTCTGTAGTTCTCTTTCTTAGTTGTGTCTTTGTGTGGCTTGGGTACTAAAGTAATTATAGCCTTATAAAAAGTTTGGTATGAACCTTCTGCTTCTGTTGTATGGAACACTTTTAGGAGTATTGGTATTAGCTCTTCTTTGAATTTCTGGTAGAATTCTGCACTGAAGCCATCTGGTCCTGGGCTTTTTTTTTTTGGTTGGGAGACTTTTGATGACTGCTTCTATTTCATTAGGGATTAGAGGTCTATTTAAATTGCTTGTCTGTCCTTGATTTAATTTTGGTAAGTGATATCTATTCAGAAAATTGTTCAATTCCTTTAAATTTTCAAATTTTATGGAGTACAGGTTTTCAAAGTATGACCTAAATATTCTCTGAATTTCCTCAGTGTCCATTGCTATGCCCCCCTTTTCATTCCTGATTTTGTTAATTTAGATGTTCTCTCTCTGCCTTTTGGTTAGTTTTTATAAAGGTTTGTCTGTCTTGTTGATTATCTCGAAGAACCAACTTTTTGTTACATTGATTCTTTGAATTGTTTTCTTTGTTTCCACTTTATTGATTTCAGCCCTCAGTTTGATTATTTCCTACCTCTGGGGTGAGTTTGCTTCTTTTTGTTCTAAAGCTTTTAGTTGTGCTGTTAATTCTCTAGTGTGACTATTCTCCAGTTCCTTCATGTGAGCACCTCATGAACTTTCCTCTTAGTACTGCTTCCAATGTGTCCCATAAGTTTGAGTATGTTGTGTCTTCATTTTCATTGAATTCTAGGAAGTCTTTAATTTCTTTATTTCTTCCTTGACCCAGGAATGGTGCAATTGTGTGTTGTTCAATTTCCATGAGTTTGTAGGGTTTCTGCAATTTGTGTTGTTGAATTCTAACTTCTTGGGTCATTTGATTGGAAAATCTTATCCCAACTCTTTACTCTGAGGTGTCTTTCTTGTATGCAGCAGAATGGTCTTCATATCCATTCTGTTAGCCTGTGTCTTTTTATAGGCAAACTAAGACTATTAATATTGAGGGAAATTAAGAACCATTGAGTATTAATTCTTGTTTGTTTTTGATTTGTTATTGGTGGTGTTATTCTTTGTGGATTTACCCTGCTTTTTCTTTTGGCTTTTGGTACAGTGGGGTTATCTATTGCCTAGCTTTTTTGTGAGTATAGTTAACATCCTTAGGTTGGAGTTTTCCTTCCAGTACTTTCTGTAGGGCTGGACCAGTGGATATGTATTGTTTAAATCTGGTTTTGTTGTGCAATATCTTGTTTTCTCCATCTACAGTGATTGAAAGCTTTTCTGGATATAGTAGTCTGGGCTGGTATCCATGGTCTCTTAGTGTTTGCAGAATATCTATCCAGGACCTTCTGGCTTTCAGAGTTTCCATGGAGAAGTAAGATGTGATTCTGATAGGTTTGCCTTTATATATTACTTGGCATTTCTCCATTGCTGCTCTTAATATTCTTTCTTTATTCTGTATGTGTTGGGGAAGTCCTTTGTCAATAAAGCACTGCTGGCCAATAGGAATCTAGATAGGTGGGGCTAGGAGTCCAGGAGGACTCTGGGGAGGAGAAACACAAGGAGTCGAGATGTAACCGCCATGGGGTAGGAAGCCCAGAACTATTCTCCGGTAAGAGAAATACTTAGATGAACAATTATGGGATAAATACTTAAGTCAGAGCTAGCCAGTAAGAAACAAGCAAGGCCAACAGCTTCATAATTAATACTGCGTCTTGTGTGTTTATTTGGGACTGATGTGGCTCTAGAACCAGGCTGGCGGGAATGCTCCTCTCAAGGAAAAGCTTCTCTTTACATGTATGTTTAGGGTTTTAATTACTATGTGCTGAGGGGACCTTTTTTGTGGTCCCCTCTATTTAGTGTTCTGTGGGCTTCTTGTACTTTCATTGGCATGTCTTTCTTTAGGTTGGAAAAGTTTTCTTCTATAATTTTGTTAAGTATGTTTTCTGCACCTTTGAGGTGCGTTTCTTCACCTTCTTCTATACCTATTATTCTTAGG